CTGCTTGAAACACCCCAGGCGGCTTGTCAACTGAAACACAGTTTGATTCAGCACCGCCTGCAACTTGGTGGCCACAGGGACTGGCTCAGTCAGCTACAGGCCTGTCATTTGCTGGGGCTGGGTTAGGCTGCGGCAGCAGGGAGGGGACCCTGTGCATCTGCCCCCACCCCACCGTAAGTGGGTCACGGGGCCTCTGCGCTGGAGCGGGCTGTGCTATTCCAAACCTGGGTGACGCGGCTGTTAGCTTTTTTCTTTTCTTTTTAAAGCTATCTGCAGTATTACTTTTTCTATTAAAAACCAAAATAAACACACAGGAGGTACAGAGTGACCATCCTGGTAACCGGCTCTCGCCCTTCCTCCTGAAGGAGCCAGAGCTGGCGCCGGAGAACCACTGTCCAAGGCCAACCCGGAGTCTGCCCCTGCCCCTACCCCAGCCCCAGCCCCAGCCCCAGCCCCTGGAGAGCCGCCTGGAGTTTAGCTCCCTGACCTCTGGCTCTCCCCTGGGGCTATGGCCCTTGTCCCTACCTGAGGACACAGGATGCACCTCAGCCCTCCTCTGGATGGGCTGCGTGTGGGCGGCCCCGCACTCGCGCTCGCCTCCCGCCCTCAGCCCCTCGTGCCCGCCCCCGCCACCCGCACCCCAGGGGCCCCCGGGCACACAAGGCTGGCAGTGGCAGGAGGCAGTCTGGAGTGGTCTGCTCACTCACACGCACCTGTGGCTGGCACCAGGATGGTGCCACAGAGTGGGGACTCCAGCTGCTGGACGCTCACCCTCATCCAGGGGATGGTGCCACAGGCCCACCACGCTGGCATTCCTCAGTCGTGGGGCCACCAAGTCCCTTGAGTGTAGCCCCTGGCCCCTCCTTCAGGGCCCCCTCCCACCTGGTCGCCCTCCCTTCCTCCAGCCCGGTCCTCCGATCTCAGCTCCCAGCGCCCCCCACCGTCCTTCCTGACGTGGGTGTGGGCATCTGTGCAGATGCCCGGCCCCCACTCTGGCCTGCAGGCATCCACTCCGCTCCCCTTGAGCCGGACACGCCCGGACACCTGGGCTGGACTCGTCACTACCCCTGCCGGCGGGGACCATCCCCAGGTTCCTTATTTACCTGCCTGGGCACCACAGCCGGCACTGCCAGGACGCTCACTGCTGCCCTCTGCCTGCAGGCCCAGGTGACCCCAGCACCAGCTGCCCCGGGCCCCAGCTCTGCAAGACCCTTGGGCTGGCTGAGTGCAGAGTCCCTCGTTCGCGCCCCACCAGCTCCGTCCCTGCTCAGACCCGGCGGAGGTGGGGAGGCCTCACTGGCCCCGTGTCTCTTGGTGACAAGCCTTCCTGAGGGTGGCCTTTGCTCCCTGGCCCGGCCCCACACCTATGCACCAATCCCCTCCTGGTTTCCACAACCCACCACGTGCTTCCCCCGGGGGCCTCACCCACACCCACACCCACCCACCAAGGAAGCCTAAACCTCCTGGATCAGCCGCGACCCCTCCCCAGGCACCAAGCAGGCCTGTTCGGAAGCTCAGTTGGGCCCAGGCTCCCATCCCCATGGCTTCTCCAGCCAAGAGCCAGGGGCCACCCTGCTCCACCCTCGCCCTCTCCCCACACCGGGGGCCAGGCCCTGCCAACGGCAGGAGTCTTCCTGGTTGCCCGCTGCCTCGAACACCGCCTCCGACCCGAACACCCTCCGGGGGCACACTGGACACCAGCACCTGCCCTGCCTGCCCCTCCTGCCACGTCAGGGATGTGGGCTCTGAATCACAGACCTGACGACCACTAACCACTGCCCACTCCCACTGTTAGGGGATGAGGCTCCCACTGATGGGGTAGAGACCCAGGCCCTCGGGGTGCCCACTGCCACCTCGCGGAGGCCCAGCCCTACCGGCCTGCCAGCCCGCACCCCTCCTCCTGGGGCCAGCCAGTGCCACCGCCTCTGCTGGGACCTCCAAGGCCTGGGCCACGACCATGAGTGTCCTGTTCAGCCTCGTCTTTCCGCTCGGCTCCCCGCGAGCAGGGTGGGTCTGGCCGGCCTCACGCCACGCGGCCCGCGCGCGGGATGCGCCGTGCAGTTTGTGTTGAAAGAGTGCCACACCAAAGAACGAAGAAAGCACTTAACACATACGCACCTGACGACACAGCTACAGAAAAACACTGATCAGAAGAAAAACACCATCAGCAAGACGGAAAAACGACAAACTGCCGAAAAGGAGGGACGTCTTACGTCAAGATAAAGTCAGGTCCCTGACGTACAGAACTTCCAGAGATCAAGAAATACCACAACCCAGCATGTAAATGTTTTCCCATGTACATGTTCCAATATAAAATAAAAAGGACGAAATAAGTCCATAAACCGAAAACAAAGCAAAACAAATGAATCTTACTGTATATGATTAGTGACGTCACCTCACAGGGAAAAGAATCATCCTTAATGACTCGAGAACACGTATTTCCTGGAGTTTTAGTAGCAGCAGTGCTGTTGTCGGAGTCTTGAAACCGTTACATACGTGCTACGGAGGCAGGAACTGTGTTGATGACATCAGAAGCCACGCCTGTGGACAGCAGACCAGCCTCCTGCCGCCACCACAGACCACGTCCCATGGCTTCTAACACCTCCATCTCCTCCCCGTCCCTTTCTCCTCACATGTGTTGACCTAAACTATCCGCCGTAGCTCAAATTATTTGTTTTATTTTGTTTTCATTTGAGGGTGAAGACTCAGTTTCAGTCTTTGGATCTAGGTTTCCAGTTAAGTATACAGTCAAGTATTAATTAACAGCACAAGGGATGGGTTAACTTTACAATAAGAACTAGTGTTGGGTGGCGTTTGCAAGAATCTTTTTTGGGGGATGAAATTTCTACCTGTTATATATTAAACATTCTTATGCTGTGCTACAAAGCTCTAGCAAATGTGAGGCACCCCTGAGGACTCAGTTATTCTCCAAGATGAGACATGTCCTTGGGTTAAATTAAAAGCCCTGGGCAGGCACAGTGGCTCATGTCTGTAATCCCAGGACTCTGGAAGGCCAAGGTGGGCAGAATGCTTGAGGCCAGGAGTCTCTACTAAAAAAAAACAAAAAAAAAACCACATTATTGGGGTGTGGTGGAAGCACCCGTAGTCCCAGCTACTCAGGAGGCTGAGGCGGGAGGATCGCTTGAGCCCAGGAATTTGAGGTTGCTGTGAGCTAGGATGATGCCCCTGCACTCAAGCCAGGGTGACAGAGCAAGACTATTTCCAAAAAAAAAAAATTATACCGGTCACCACAGCTTTGGCATCTCCTGTTTTCCACGCTTGGCTCTCAGGTTCCTGGCTTTTCTTCCCACAGTCCCTCCTCACCCCTTTGCTGTCCTGTGTAGTGATTTTAGTGAGAGAAATTTTTGCTGCACCCCCGTCCTGCACTACATATGAGTCCCAAGTTTTATTACTGCAATAAAAGTGCTTCATGCTGGCTTTTCTAAAAAACAAAAAACCCCCCACAAAAGTTAATGCCATAAAAATCTAAAAAAAAATAAAGGGGGAGGGGGCTGTTCCAGATTAAAAGACTCACGAGACATAATTAGCCAAATGCACATGTGAACCCCGACCGGCCCTGGCTGGGAAACGGGGTGGAGGTGACGACAAAAGGCATTCTTGACACATTGGGGAGGTCTGGGTACTCGCCGGCTGCGTTACAGAATTACTGCTAATTGGGGGGGCGGAAGAGTCAGATTGGAAGTATTTGGGAGCAGAGTCATGATGTCTACAATCTACTTTCAAGTGGTTCAGAAAATACTCACTTTTTCAAAAATGACAACAGAGGGAGAAGACAAAGCAAGCATGGCACAATGCTAACTGCTGTGCCGTAAGGAGAGCATGCTGGTGTCTCGTCTCATTCTTCCCATTTTTCTACTTCATACTTTTAATAACAAAAATTTTAAATACTTTTATTCAGAGTCAGAGTCCACATTAACAAACCGCAAACTTGGCGCTGCATCATCTGGCCCCAGTATCCGCAACCTCACCCTCCACCGGCCCGCTCAGTCCCCTCTGGCCCTGGCTTCCTGCTCAAGCTCCGTGGCTGTGTGCTCAAGGTCCCTTTGCAGGATCCCTCCCCCCAGATAGCCACAGTGCTTTACTCCCTTTCCTCCTTCAGCTTTTGGCCACAATGTCACTTCTCAAGACTTCTCCTGACCACCCTGTTTAAAATGGCAGTCCCCGAAACAACGCACACACTCCCTTCTCTGCCTCGCATACCTGCACAGCATTTTTCATCACCCGGCATTCTCCACGTTTTACCTACTTCTTTGTTCACTGCCGGCTCCTCTGTTCCCATTACTGTCCGCTCCATGAGGACAGCACTGGAGTGTTTTGTTCATTGCTGCAACCCCAGCACAGCCCCTCTTTTAGATTTTTGTTTCTCATATTTAGTACTTCCTCAGTGTTCGAAATGCACATACTCTAAGACCCAGCGACTTCACTTCTGGGATCTTGCCTTGGGAAGCCACTCACACTGGGTAGAGACAGACGCCTACAATGCGGTGTTCTCCACAATGCTACTTCTAATGGCCAACAAATGTAAACAACCTAAGTACAGTAGGCGCCAACAGAGAAAGGCACAGCCATCCTATGGAGACCAAGCACCAAGTGCACAGAATGAAGACCTACATCCACCACCATGAAGAACTAAAGACATACAGCGAGTGACAAAGCAGCAAAGTACTCGTGTAGTTTCACTGTGTTTTAAAAAAGAATCACGAAAACGTACTACACGTTTTCTACTTGAGTACGTACCGACGGTCACCGAGCTATTAGCAGCGCTTACCTCTACAAAAGGAAATGAAGAAGTATGGAGATAACTGCTTTAACTCGGTACAGGAACGCTGCGGTATATCCTCGCGCGCCTAACCATCCATTTCAGAAGGTTGGCAAACCAAGGCACGAGATTCCAGGCCTAACTCGCGGGGTCCCGCATCCAAGGCCGCCCCTCCTCCCAACCGGAGGCCCCGCGCCCGCCGCCAGGGCTCTGCACTCACCAGACACCGGTGCCGGCTCCCTCTTGGGCTGGAGACGGCTGGTCTGGGGCAAGAACAGGTTGTTCACCCTACGGGAAGCGGCAGGATCAGCGGGGAACCGGCCCAGGCCGCCGGGCCCGAGCCGCCCCGCGACGCCGCTCACCCGAACGTGTTGGGCTCCTCCACCACCTTCATCTTGGCGGCGCCTGCGGGCCCTGCGGGGAGGGGGTCGGTGAGGAGGTGCGGGGGGCGCGGAAGGGGCGGGGGGCGGGGGCGCACGGGGCCACTAACCGCGCGCCGCGAGCCCGAGGAGCAGCAGGACGCACGCCGCCTTCGCCGCCATGGCTCGGCGGCGGTCAGGTGGGCGCCTGTCGGGTCACGTGACGGCGGGAACCGGAAGTGGCGCGTCCACGCGTGCGCAGACGCGAGGGCCAAAGCGGATGCCTGGCGGCTAAGGGGCGTGCCCGGGGTCTCGCGCGTCTCGGGGACCGGGTTCCCGGCCATGGGCCGCAGAAGGGCAGCGCGCGGGCGAGCGGAGGAAGGCGGCCGCGCTCGGCACCTCCCCGGCCGCTCCCTGGAGGCTTTCGCCCGGGAGGTGGGCGCCGCGCTGCGCGGTGAGCGGGGCGTGGGGGGCGTGGGGGACGTGGGGGGCGGGGGCCGCTGGCGGAGCTCGCGCTGAGCCCGGTACCTTCTCTCCTGGCGCAGCGTCGGTGGAGCCAGAGGCGGCCGAGGGCGAAGGCGACCCGGGCCCCGCGGCGCTGCCCTGCGCGCTGGCCATGTGGGAGCTGGGCCACTGCGACCCCCGGCGCTGCACCGGCCGCAAGCTGGCCCGCCTGGGGCTAGTGCGCTGCCTGCGCCTGGGCCACAGGTTCGGCGGCCTCGTGCTCAGCCCTGTGGGCTCCCAGTACGTGTCCCCGGCAGACAGGTAGGCGCTGGGGACTGGGGAGGGGCGGGTGCCTGCCCCATCTCTTCCTCTTAATAAGCCGCCCCGTCTCCAGCGCATCGTTGTTTTCAGGGTTCACTTATTTGTACTCGTGTATCACACACATACACCCTCCACGCGTGGACGGGGAAGGTGTCTGTCTGGTTTGCCCCCACTGCTGAGTGCAGAGCTTGGGATGTAGGAGGACCTAGGATAAACGTTTGTTGAGTGAATAAACGAGCATGCTCCAGGTACCTCACGCAGCTGCCTGGAAAGCTTGCTCATGAGGGCCTTTTGGGGATAGGGAGTTGTGTCCTCGTTTCCCTAGCAAGGCCAGTCTCCAGGGATGTACTTCACCTTAACCAGATGCTGTTCCTGACAGACAGCTGGTGGCACAGTCTGGGGTCGCTGTCATTGATTGCTCCTGGGCCCGACTGGATGAGACGCCATTTGGGAAGATGCGGGGGAGCCAGTTGCGGCTGCTGCCCTATCTGGTGGCTGCCAACCCTGTCAACTATGGCCGGCCCTGCAAACTTTCCTGTGTGGAGGCTTTCGCTGCCACCTTCTGCATAGTAGGTGAGTTTTAGGGTCCGACACCAGCCTGACGTGACAACCTGGTGGTCCAGCTATTCTGTGGGCAGAACCCAGGAGAACATGAGGGATGTACGGGGAGGTGGTCAGGCCAGGCCTGGGTTTCACTCCCAAGTCCCACTAAAAGCTTAGGCCCTGGGTTGGTGTGGTGGCTCACGCCTGTAATCCTAGCACTCTGGGAGGCCGAGGCGGGAGCTCAGGAGTTTGAAACCAGCCTAAGCAAGAGTGAGATCCCGTTTCTACCAAAAATAGAAAAATTAGCTGGATGTAGTGGCGCCTGTAGTCCCACCTACTCTGGAGGCTGAGGCAGGAGGATCGCTTGAGCCCAGGAGTTGGGGGTTGCTGTGACCTAGGCTGATGCCATTGGCACTCTAGCTTAGGGAACAGAGTGAGACTATGTCTCAAAAAACTAAAACATTTAAAAAAGCTTAGGCCCCATGTAGTTGAGTGGAGTCAGAATGGGACAGCTGCCCAACGAAGGCTGGCGCCACTATCGTTGTTGGCACTGCCCTGATGAGCTCCCCAACTCAGAATCTGGGGTCCAGAGAGGCCCAGGAGGAGACCCAGCAGGGGTGGGGGCAGCCTCTGTGGGGATGTTTGTGTTTCTCAGCACAGGGGAGGGGCTTAGTGGGCTGCGGATTGTAGCAAGGGAGGTGGAGGCCCTTATAGCCTCTGCTGTCAGGGCTGTAAGTTGGTGTTTGTTGGGGACCCCACAGTTACCTGGCACAGCAGCACCACCTGTCACCCCAGGGGATCAGGGCGCGTTCTTGGAGGGATTGTCAACGTCTTTGGGTTTCCTGTTTCTGCACCATCAGGCTTTTCAGACCTTGCTGTGATCTTACTGCAGAAATTTAAGTGGGGCAAGGGCTTCTTGGACCTGAACCGCCAGCTCTTGGATAAGTACGCAGCCTGCAGTGGCCCACAGGAGGTGCTGCAGGCAGAGCAGGAGTTCTTGGCCAGCCCCAAGGAGAACCCCAAGGAGGAGGAGATCGGTGAGCCCTGGCACGGTGGGAGCTGAGACCCGCCCGCCCCAGGCCTGCCAGCCCCTTTTGAAAAGCCTAGGGTTGGGGGTTTGGTTCTGCCCTGAGCTTAGTCGCTTTCCTCTCTTGGTTCAGACCCCTTTGACGTGGATTCAGGGCGAGAGTTTGCAAACCCCAACAGGCCCGTGGCCAGCAACCGGTAGGTCTGTGGGCTTCCCAGTTCGTGGTAGCTCAGATCCAGGGCTCTCCTTGACCTCTGGCCTCAGCCCGTCCTGCTGCATGGGAGTGGATGCTTTTGTGCCTAAGAAACAGGAAGGGGATGTTCCCTGGAGAGGTTCTGGTTAGAGAGAGTGGGGCATAAGAGGAATTTGTCCTCGGCTCAGGGGTGGATCAGTGCAACAGGGAGGGGAGCCTCAGACTGGCCAGGGATGACGACGCTGGAGAACATACTCCCCCTTCCAGGCTGCCGCCAGACACTGATGACAGTGACGAGTCTGAGGAGCAAGAGCCTGATGCTGAGGACAGCAGCTGCTCCAGAGAGGGGGAGACTCCGGAACAAGGGGCTGCGGCCAGGTCCCCAACTGAGATTTGGAAAGGAATCAAGAAACGGCAGAGAGACTGAAGGTCGCAGGCGTGTGTATTGCAGAGACTGGGTGACGAGGAAATCGAGAGACATGGGAACACAGGCAGGCCTGGCGGTCTTGGCCCCAGGGGACTGGCCACTCCAGCTTCTCACGGCCTTGCTCTGGGTCCTGTCTCGGAGCCTCTCAATGAAGCTGCCGGCCAGGAAGGAGCCCCCGTGTGAGTCTGGTTCTTTGCACTGGGCCTGGTGGCAGCTGGGGGACTCCTGGCCTCTGGTAAGGAAGGGTCTGGGCCATGGAGTAAGTCTTGTGTGGTCACGTATGTGTATATGAAAGGACAGTGACCAGTGGGCACAGAGCCCCTTACACTGACCACATCCTTGGCTGGCATCCGTGGCCTCATGGAGTGACCCCGCAGGAACCTCTCCCAGGCCTAGAGCCTGGTGGGGAGTGGAGGCCTGTGCGGTTCTTAGCAGATCTGCCCTCCACATCCACTCTGGGTGGAGGATTGCACAGCCGGGAGAGGGCTGCCGAACACACCGTGCTCTCACCGCCGCCCTCCCCTGGGTCCCGGGAGCTGCTTTCCTCCAAAGCTTGGGCTGCCCAGACCTAACAGCAGGCCTTCCTGCCTCTCTGGCATGCAGAGGCCTCGCCCTCCCCCAGGAGAGACAGAAGATGGAGTTTCCTCTGCTGTGGGGCTCTGCCCTGCGGCTCTGTTGGGGGGCTGATGGCAGGAAGCTGAGCAGCACCCCTGGCCTCTACCCACTGGTACCCATAGCTCCCCCAAGCCCCCTGCACTTCCCAGTGGGGACCACCAAAAATGTCTCCACACGTTGCCCCATATCCCCTGGGGAGCAAAGCCACCAAGAGCAGGTGCCCGCCCACCCGTGCAAGGTAGTGGGTGGAGAAGCCCACCTGTAGCCAGGCCCACTGTAGTCTGCTCTGTGTCCAGGGGGCAGCTGCTGGCCACGTCCTACTGAGCTGGCCACCCAGATTGGGGGCTGGGGCACAAGGTTCACAGCACACACCAAAGGGACACAGCCAGGGTAGGTGGGAGCCAGGGGTCCAGCCACAGCACACGTCACACAGCTGAGAGGGGCGCCATGGGCCCTGGCTGCACAAAGCTGGCCACAGTGACAGTAGGTGGGGGAGGGGCTGGGGCTGGCGGCCAGTGGCTGGGGCTCAGGGGTCCGCCTCCATGTACTTCTCCAGCTCCTTGAGTTTCTTGACAAACTCCTGCGCCTCCTTGCTGCCGCGCCCTTCCAGCATCCGCAGCGCCGACCTCACTGCAGGTGGCGGACAGGCATGTGGGAGCCAGGGCAGGCCGGTCGCCCCCCAGCCCCCACCACTGCCCAGACGTGCACTCACCCTGGGCTCTGGGCCGGCACAGGTGCAGGGTGACAGGCTGCCCAGCCCTCACGGCCCCTCCCACCTGGGGCCGTGCAATTCCACTGACGCTGCCCAGGCCGAGGGCCGCCTCCCCCGCGAAGTCGTTGGTGGACAGCCAGTCGTGGTCCATGACCGTGAACAGCACACAGGCCCCGCGGCGGCGGCACGCCTCTGCAGGCACAGAGCTGCAGGCGGAGGCCCGTCACCTGACCCTGCTCAGGGTGCGGGGGGCCGGGGGTGCAGGCGGTGTGGGGCACTCACAAGTGGAAGAGCTCGTCGTACACCGGGTGCAGCGTCCGGGCCTTGACCTGGGTCCTCTGGCTGCGGACCAGCGGGAAGAGGTGCGGTGGGCCCAGCTCCACGATCACAAAGGGGTCACTCAGGCCTGAGGGGCACAGCCGTGAGTTGGCCTGCCCTGCCCACCCCGCCCACCCTGGCAGCACCGCACCTCACCGTTGGCGTCCAGGGGGAGCAGGTCGGCGGCGTGCAGCACCTCCACAGCCAGCCGCTGCTCGGCCGCCTCGTAATGGCAGCGGACACTCAGGCGTCCAAACCGGTTCTGCTCCAGGGACCTCTGCAGAAAGGCGAGTGAGTGGGACGGGGGCTCCCAGGGCGGGGCCGAATGCCCACCGCGGCCCCTACCTGCTTGAGCTTGTCCAGGTAGAACTGCTCGATGCACTCTCGGGTGGAGCACTTGTGCAGCCGCAGCTCCTCCTCCAGCCTCTGCAGGGGGGTGATGGGAGGGGACACCACCTAACTCCTCATGGCCGCCTGGTGGGCCATTTCATGCTCGAGGGTGCAGCTAGTGTGGGCCTCAGTTTGAACTCGGGTTCCCAAGTCCTTCCCCGCCATACACCGACCCGCCCGGAAGAGTCTGGCCTCACCTTGTAGCTTCCGTCCCTCAGGCTCTCCAGGGGCAGGCCCTGGCCCTCAGCATGGAAAAAACTGACCAGGGCCTGGCACAGGGAAAGAAGGGAGATACTTGAAAGAGCCTGGCTTATGCTGGGGACAGGGACAGGTGGGACCCCAAGCAGCAGCAGGGTCTCAAGTTCGGGGCAGAGCTGCTTCCCACACCTGGCGTCAGAAGCCCAGCAAGCCCGGGCGGTGCTGGCACCTGAGGCGGGACCGCTGGGAGGAAGTGCTGCCTGGCGGAGCCCTGGATGGCTGCCCTCCCAGCAGAGGAGACCGGGCGTGCCCGCAGGGGGCAGGACGGGACAGAGGAGGGGCCAGCGGGGAAGGCAACCCCACATGGCCTCACCTCCAGTGTGAAGTGGAAGCGGCCGTAGAAGTCAGCAGAGACGTCGCGGTCTGCGCCCAGCGCCTGCAGGATGGCCTGCAGGAGCAGCTCCCAGAGGGCCTCCAGCACCCTGCAGGGCGCAGCGTCAGCGACCTCACGGCCTCGCCCTCCGCCACCCCCTTGCTGCACAGTCAGTACCTGCTCAGGTGCTCCTTCACCAGGGAGGCGTTCAGCAGGGCCAGCTTCTCGTCCAGGTACTTCATGAGCGGGGCCACTGCCTGTGGGCAGCGGTCCTCAGGGCCAGCCTGGCCCGGGGCCCACCCTGCCCCGACACACACCCTCCGCCCCACCCTAGGCCCAGACGCTCACCTCCTCGTTCTGAATGGAGTCAGGGGAGAGGCTGACGTGCTGCACATACTTGCGGATGTCGCCCACCATCTGAGGGAGGGGTGGCACTCAGCACGGGCACAGGGGCCCCAGGCACGGCCGCCCAGGCCCAGGTCCCCGGGCCCTGCCCTCCTGCCCACCTTGGAGGTCAGGTGCGCCGTCACAGTGCGGGCCTCCCGCTGCAGGTCCTCGTCCAGGGCCTGCATGCAGCTGAGCAGGGGCCGGGGAAGCACCCCCTCAGGCCCGGCAGGCCCCTCCACCCACGCCAGGCCCCGCAGGGCCTGCCCGGCAGCCTTGCGCACAAGCTCCACGTTGTTGAGGACCACGCAGAGCTGGGGGAGGTGTGACCGGAGATGAGTGGGTCTGGGGCCCAGGGCCTGGTGGGGGCTCCACCCAGCCTGCCGCCTGCCCCACCCCCTGGCCACTTACCGGCTCGCTCACTGTCTCACCAGCTGCCCCGGGCTGAGTGTCCACCTTCTTCCGAAGCAGCTCCGTGTAGAAGAGGACGGCCTCACACATGTCCTGGGGTGGGAGAGGGGCTGGGGAGCTGTGGGCCCCTCCCCTGGGCCTGCTGCCCCTCCCCCACCCCATCTCCAGCCCACTCCCCTCACCCCCCAGCACCCTCGCACCTGGCTGAGTTGGGTGCCCAGCACCTGGGCCTGCGGCGGGTCAGGCCATGCCAGGCGGAGCCAGAGCTCCTGGATGTGGCTGAAGCAGAGGCCAGCAGTGGCCGCAGAGCTGCTGTGCTTGGAGGTGGTGTCCATGGGCTCCAGCTAGGAAGGCAGGAGGCCTGGGTCGCTGGGAGGCCCAGACATGCCCCAGTGTCCTCAGGCCTGGGCACTCACCGTGTCCACATCCACAGCTCCCTGAAGCCGCCACTTGGTCTGGTCCCGCAGCACCTGCAGCCAGAGCTTCACGGCAGGCAGGAACGGAGCATGGATGCCGGCCAGGGCCAGGGAGCGGCTGTCCCTGTGGTCGGAGGCTGGTCAGAGCTCGTTGTTGACTCAGACACCTAAAGCCAGCCTGTTCCCAGTGCACAGCCCAGGGGTACCCAGAAGGTACCCTCATAGGGCTGTGGGTGCCGGTCCTAGAGCCCAGCTGCAGGGCGGGGAGCAGGTGGAGGGGCACCCACCGGCCAGGGATGCTGCTCCAGAACCGCTGAATGTCTGCCAGAGTCAAGTAGAGCTCAAAGAGCCCTGAGGCCACCTCGAGGGTCATCTTGGGGCTCAGCTCCTCTGTCAGGACCCAGGCCTCCTCAGCCACCTGCCGGGAGGGCGGAGTCAGGCCACAGGCAACAAGGAAAGAAACCCAGGCCCCTCCCAGGGCCTCCTGCCACTCCCCACACCCAGCAGGCACCAGGGTCGGGAGCGGGGACCCTTCTCACCAGACGCTCCAGCTGCCGGAAGGTGAGGGTGAAGAAGTCCACCTTGAGGATGCTGCAAAGGACGTGTCTCAGGCACCTGCTCCCCGACAGCAGGCCCTGCTGGTCCCCACCCACCCCTGCACCCCAGCCCCCAGGCCCACCTGTGGAAGAGGCTGGCATAGATGCTGAAGCAGGACTGCAGGTCATCGTAGATGGCATCTGCTAGCTCAATGAGCCCAGGAAGGCGCTGGGGCCCGGGCTGCAAGGAAGGCTGGCTCACACTGACCTTTCGGCCCACCTTCACCCACACAGCCCCGCCCCTAGAACCACACCTGCTCTCGAGCACTCTTGGTGTTCAGCATCCTGTCATACCACTCCCGGTTGCCTCTCTGCAACAGAAGCCACCAAGGCAGCATCGTGGGTCAGAGGGACGAGGGAGAGTTGTGGCAGGAGACGGTGGTACAGAAGTCCCGGACCAGCCCAGCAGGGGAGGGCAGGGCCCGAAACACACCTTCAGGGCGGCAGCAACGTCCATGTTCAGCTCCGTCTCAAAGGGACAGATCTCGAAGGAGGGCTGGAAGACCTGCAGCTTGCCCAGACACCTGGGCGAAGGGAGCCGCTCACTCAGAGCCTGCCCGGCTAGTCCCCCCCCCGTCCCCGCCCCCACAGCAGCTGTACCCACTTCAGCAGCAGCTCCAGGCGGCAGACGGCTGTGCTGTTGGTGGCGGGGAAGTAGTCTCGGAGCTGGCGCAGCAGCTGCAGCCCAAACTCGGAGAAGGCGGAAAAGCTGTCAGCCAGGCTCTCCTCCTGGGGGACAGGGCCCTTCAGAGCTGGGGACACCAGTGCCAGCAGCCCCGCTCGGCCACTGATGCCGAGATTCATCGTCCCTGCCTCGGCCCTCGCGCATCTCCTGCTGCAGAGCACTTGCTCTCTCCCAGGGCAGCGGTTCGGCTCGTTCCCGGTTCTCAACCGAGCAGGCCCAGCCACAGCGCTCGCTCCCTCCACCGGCGCCCTGCGCACCTGCTCCTGGGGCAGCGAGGCCGCCTCCTCCCAGTGCACCTGCAAGTCCTCCAGCAGCCCCAGCAGGTAGCCGTAGTCCAGCGTGCGGGTCTGATGGTGGCGGCTGCTGACCTGCCAGTGCCTGTGGGGGCCGGTGGGTGGTCAGGCTGCGCCCGGCACCGCCCCCGCCCCGCCCACCGCTCACAGCCCCGCCCCCGCCCCATAGACTGCCCAACAAGAAGCCTACCCCTTCACTGTCCCGCCCACCCATAGCACCGCCCCTGCCCCGCCCACTCACAGCAGGCCCCTCCCATGGCCCGCCCACTCGGCCCGCCCCGCCCCGCCCACTCACAGCACGGCCAGCTGCAAGGGCGACAGGTTGCTCTGCGCTCCGTGCAGGCAGAGCACGGTGGCCGCGGGCGCGCTGAGCTCTCCGCGCCAGCTGCTGGAGTTGGGCTGGGGAGGAGGCTGGGCGTGGGCGGGGGCAGGGAGACGCCCCAGCCCCGCCCCAGCCCCACGCCGCCGCCGGAGTCCCGAGGGCGCCCACTACCTCCTCGGCGCGGTGCTCGAACTGCAGCAGGCGGCTGAGCAGCAGCAGGTAGGACAGGAAGCCCGATCGCCCGCGCTGGCTCATGGCCGTGTCCCTCTGCAACAGAGCCCCGTCACTGGCTGCCCTCCCACCCTCCGCAGTCCGTGGGTGCAGGGCGGGCCCGGCGCTCCCCACCTGCGTGGTGATCAGCTTGAGGACCAGGTGGCAGTCCCCCTGCACGCGGGACGCGCTGGAGCGCGGTTCCAGCTTGAACCAGCGGTCGACACCAGCCACAGGCACCTCCTGGGGAGGCAGGGGTCAGAGCAGGGGTCAGAGCCGCCAGGCTGCGCCCCTCCCTCCCTCCCCGACGGACCGAGGGAGCACTCTGGGCGGTCCCAGTCCTCCCTGTCCCTGCAGGTGCGCCGCAGCCCCAGGTGTGTGCGCGGCTCAGGGGGACCACAGGACATGAGCACTGGAAATGCCTGGGAAGGTTGGGGCACCCGGGTGCCTCTGTGAAGCACCCCGACCCTCCCCGTGCCCGCCCACCTGGACAGGTATGTTGAGGCACCCCAGGAAGTCATCAGTGTGGTCCTCGGTGGGCCCTGCGGTCCCATTTGCTCGGGCTGACTTGACAATCTGTTTGAAGTACCTGGGCACAGCAGGGTGGGCGTCACACTGGTGGTCCCTGGGGAGCCACTGTGCACTGGGCCCCGTGGCCAGGCCGAGGGCACAGGTCTGGGCACAAAGGCCCCACCCCTGTACCTGCTCATGCCCTTCAGGCCGATGACTTCGTTCAGCTTCCTGCACGCTTCCACCAGGGACACGTCATCGTCATGATCCCTGGGGGTGGGGGAGCACCTGGCTTGTCTGGAGCCCCCAGCACGGCCTGGAGTCCCCCTCTTCCCCCAGACCAGAGGCCCCCATTCCCGGGCCCCTACCAGATGTCCAGGTGCAGCTGGTCCGTGCTGACATCCTCGATCTCGCTACAGGGAGAACACAGAGGTGCCCGTGGAGGTCCCAGGTGCGCCAAGAAGTCCAGGCGCAGTGTGGACGAGGCCATGTGCTCTGGTTCCCAGATGGGCTGCCTGGGCTCAAATCCTGACCTGCCACTTGCTCCCAGCTGTGTGGCCACAGGGGCACAATGTCCCTCTCTAGAAAGTGGGCTATGCCCAGTCCCCGTAGCAGCTCCCTGGAGCAGGCTGTGGGCCATCACCCTCCCGCCCCAGCCTGGCCGCCCGGCTTCACAGACGTAGGGGCTTACAAGAGGAAGTGCTCCTTCCACACGGGGTTCAGCGTGCTGCTCTTGACCTCGGTGACCCGGATGCACTTGGCTGGCAGCGGGCCGCCACGTTTGCCACCCTTTCGGAAGCTGAAACGCTGCTCCTTCTGCGCACCCGGCTCCCGCGGGGCACCCGAGGCGGGCAGGATGCCCAACATGCAGTAGGGGTCGCTAAAGCCTGGGAGGTGGCAGCTGCCTGAGCCCCCGACCCCGCACCCCTCCCCCCCAGGCCTGGGTGTGACCAGGGTCCGCTGGGCCCCACTCACCATTGGGGTCTTTGGCCAGAAGGTTCTTGGCACGCATGACAGAGACTTTCAGGGCGTACGAGGGGGCCTGTGGGCAGAGGGGCACGGGGGGCCTGGCAGGGCTGAGCTGCCCCTCTGGACACCTGCTCAGCATAAACATGACAGGGCCTGGCCTCGTGCCCCCACCACCCCCAGGGCCCTGGCATGCGGGCACGGCGGTGACCAGGCCCCGCTGAGGCGGGCAGTGGCCTTCCTTACCTTGGCCGCCTTCACATGCCCAATGGCCTCGGCATGCTCCTCAGGGCTGGTGCCAAACACCTGTGGAGGGCGGGCAAGAGGGAGGGGCCCAGGGGACCCCTGAAGCGGGGCTAGCCACTGCCCTCGGGGCCTCAGGTTCAGCCCCAGCCAGGAGGGTCAGCGCACAGAGGCAGGGAAACCCACTCTGCCGCGTGCCTGGGAGGGCAGCTGGCGGGTCTGTGCCAAGGAGTGTGAGTCACACCCATGGACGGTGGGTGTGAGTGGGGCACACCAGTGCGCATGGAGAAGTGGGGGTCGCAGCGTGCTGGCCAGGGACAGGGAGTTCAGGGCAAGCGCAGGTGAGGAGGGAAGGTGTGTGTCCATCTGCCCGTCCTTCTGGGAGAGTCTGCGTATCTCTCCTCC